AAAAAAAAAAAAAAAAAAAAAAAAAAAAAATCCAAACAACCAATAGGGAAAAAAAAAGCTTACTAATACAATGGGGTATTAATATTTTTCGGTAGGTCTAACTTCAATTATTTCTTTGATGGAGCAATATTAATATTTATCAGAACCGTCTTTAAAATGAACATGAGAGCAACTTGCACACACTTGTACCAGGAACTACCTCAGCAGCTTCCGTGGTGGAGGATAAATATTGATAATAGTAGTGACGCAGGGCATCTGATACAGATGCAGGTGAGTTAGGCCACACATCAAGGTTTTGATCTGTAACCTGCATAGAAAAAGCTTAATATATAATTTAAAACGCCAATTGATGCCTATGTGCAGTCTGAAGCACATTATATGCGACCATAAACCTTCTCTTTAAGGCAAACTCAACATTTTCTTTTTTTTTAAATCAAGTTAGGAAAACGGAAAAAAAAAACTAGTCCCCTGGAAGAAACGAAAATAAAGGTCAAGTACAGAAAACATACTAGAAATATGACAAAAAATTATAATACCCATACATTAATGATTGATTATGATAATCATCTCAATCAGCATTCAAGTCACAAACCAAAGATTGCCGTAAAAAGTTGGAATAAACAAAAAAAATTTAATCAACTTAGTTGGTTATTGATGAGTTTATTTTTAAATATATATATATACACACACACACTATTTTTGCAATTATTGACATGTTTTAAGAAAACGATGTGTTCATCCAACGAGATTTTCCTATAATTCTGGTAGAAACATGAATATTCCTTGCTTTCTACTCAAACCAGTTGTCTCTAACATTAAACAGCTTGAACCATCTTAGGAGTCATCTTCTCAAAGGTCATGAATTACCTATTAAGTCATTAAATTTAAGATCATCTTTTTTACAGACGGAAACCATAGATTTAAGATAATCTTTTTTATAGATGGAAACGAAATAAGGTTTCTGGCTCCTCTCTTCTAGGAAATTGGTGCATACTATACAACAATTAACTCAAAGAACAACACAACAACAAAAAGTCCATAATCTTCCATGGTGCATACCTCTTCATAAAATGTCATTGCAGTAAGTCGATAACCTGCTATAAGCAGATATTCCTTCACAGCACGATTAAGATCTTGACGTTCATTGCCTTTAAGTGGACCCAGATCAGAGAAGCCATCCCTCTTTTCTTCATAAGCCTCTTGCCGACCACTAATTGTAGAATCAGCCTTTGTATCTACTAAATCAATCGAGAGAAATAACTTCAGGAATCAGATAATAGAAGATAAGCATTGACCAATCAAATAATATCCACACATTGCAGACAAGAAATTATTCAAGTATTATGCTTATTGTCATATGGCCTATAAACATTTTGGCACGAGTTCTTTTCATGTTTCTGAAGAATCTTACTTTCCTTGATTGAAATCATAAAGCAAGGATTTGAGGCATCCACAAGGATACCAATCACCCCAGTTGATAAATAAGCCATGAGTGTGGAGTGAGAGCGACTAGAGTTTACTTCAGAAATAGAGATTTTTGATGTAGTTGCACATGTTTTTGCTCTTTTCATTGAGATTGGGTCAGTATTCAAAAACCTAATTCCTGTTGACACTGCAATTGTATCGAGCAAAGAAGGTGGGGCCATGACTGACTGCTGCACTAGCACTTTCTACCTTTACTTCCAAACCCACTAATCTTTTGGGAAGCAGACCTTCAATATCTGAAACGCTGAAAGTATTAGAATTCCAAAGATTATTTTAGATGGACACTGCAGTCTTTGCAACAATTTCCCCCATTGTTCAGCCGTTTTTCAGCCTTAATTTTAATAGAAATAATCAAATGCAATCAAATTGATGCAAATGTGTACATACATACATACATACATACATACATACATATATATATATATATAAAATACATATATATATTACCACTCAACACAACTGAACGGGCCTCCTTCCTTTTCTGCAATTCGATCTTCAACTTTGAAATGTCTTCTTGAGCTAAGCGCAGCTCATACTTGCTGATAGCTAACTTTTCTGCTATTGCTTCTTTCTCCTCCAACAAAGTTTGAGGCTCTGCAACTGCCCTCAAATAGGAAAGAGAGAAAAGGGACGTTACATCCAGGAACACGATTAAACAACAATATCATGATTCTCTACAAAAATTAGTCGTAGAATGTAAAGAAAGCAGAAAAGTTTAATTTCTTCTACAAATTTCTTCTAAAGCAAACATAAAGAAGAAAAATCGACGTTACTATATATATGTGTGTGTGATATATATATAACTTCATTAAATAAGCAAGACAACAAAAATATACTGGGAGACAAGGTCTCAACCCAAAAAGAAGTCGCAGGGATTACATAAAAATCCTCTAGTTGGCAATAAAGAAAAATAAGTAAAATTACCAAATGGTTTCTCAATTCTCAAACTCTTCTTTACGGTTATCCTTAAATATTACAAGATTAATTTCCAACTATAACGCCCAAAACGAAGACTTGTCCGATGGGAGGAATGTGTTGATCTGCGACCATTTCTCCATTGGCATATGAATTGGATTTTGAGTTGTCTAAGGTCATAATCGAATTATTGTATATTTGAGCTTATATTTTATGCTTCTATCTATCTTGCTATATTTTTCCAACTTCTACCGCATTATCCAACATCCGTGGGTATTCAACTAGTTTTCTCAGCCCTGATGTCTATCCACTAAGTTACATAGCAAGACAATTAGAACTCCTGTATCAAACCTTCAGCATAAGCTATAAGCGACACATGCGATCAAATTTAAGCAAGACAACGAAAGAAAAAAACTATTAACCACTAAAAAGACAGATAATTATATGGTCTTCTAGATAAAGGCCAATAGTTTCCTGATATTATTATGATTCATTTCCTCCGTTTACTGAAAATAAAAATCATGATGTCAGGTTTAAGGATAATGTAGAATCTTGTAAAAGCCTATTGTTCAGGCCAAAAGCTGCAATTGAAAATTGGGAAGATCCCGGCCACAATTTGTATCGGTTAAACAAATTATGGGAATTCAAAAAGCAAATAAAACCAATGTTTTACGTCAATGCAGGCTATGGAATTGAGATTGACGACACAGAAAGATTTGGAGCTGTGGAACTTAAGATTGAGAGCGAATTATAGAACCGCTCTACTTCAACAAAATTTGAAAATAGTAGAAATCAAGTACAAACCACATTCCCCTAATTTCTGTTCCCGGACGGAAAAAATAGAAGCATAATAAATGCATACGAGGCAAATTAGATATCACGAAATCAACATGATAGAGGAGGGGAAAATAAGAACCTCGAGGAGAATTGAAGCGAGAGATTTGATCAGGAGGGAAGTGAACAGGATCAGAGAAGAAGGCCTTGAGGCGAATGGCCTGCGCTTCCCGGCCATCGTCGAGAAGCTCGTGGAGGAGCTCAAATGCTGTCAACACATAGTTCTCCTCCAGCAAAAAGTTAACGACGCAATTGCACAACGACGATCTTTCCACGTCCATGGAAATGGTTTTGCAGAATCGGGTCACATACTATCTCAACTCAATGAGAAAACCATTGTTTATTCTCGAAGTCCATCTTCATTACGTCGAAAATGAAATGAATTGAATTGAAGAAGAGAGGAAAAAGCAGCGGCAAAGCTCTGCTGGATCTCAACTCTCCAGTCTGATTCAGTTTTTTGGATCTTCGTGGTTTCCCAAGAAATTAATATTTTCTCATGTGGAGACAAAACTGCACTTTTTTTTCTTTTATTTTTTTTTAATTCACTTTTATCATTACCTTTAATTTAACATAATCTAAACTTTTAGTACTTTAAATGCATAATAAATTTTATACTTGGTTGACTTTTTCTTTTAATCGTCAACAACTTTAAATTTATAGCTATTTATTTTTATTTCTATAGTTAAACAATAAATTTTTTTTTATTATTTTTTTTTCTACCATTAATTTTAGTATTTACACTTTTAAAAAAATCACTATTTTAATCCTAACTTTTTAAGAAAGTGTTGGTAAGTATATTTATATATATAAATCAAATAAGTTGAAGACATTAAATAAATGAGATTAGGTGATACAATAGAATATTTATATTTTCATGAATTTGAGATATGGTAATTTCTATTGATATCGACATTTAAAATCTCGATAAAATTATTTGTTTGGTAAAAGATTGTTATTTTTTAAAATACACATTGTCTTATACTCAACGATTTAAGTATGGGTCGTCCACTCCTCCGAAGAATCAAAATCAAGTCAAGAATGCAAAAAGACCCTAATATGTATTACGCACTTTCGGAATCACCAAAACTCCATAAAAAGAAAGAGCAGAGAAATAACAAAATTTGGGATATGGAGGGAATTGTAAGGGAGATGTTTGAAATTGGTCCATGCAAATCTGCATTTCTCTGATACAATGAAGAACAGATTGGAGAATGACCTTGTCCTTCGTGACCAGCTCCTTCCTTTTGCTCAAGCCAGCCCCAGTGTCACAGTCTCTCTTTATCCAAGCTCTCTCAACAATAACAAAGCCAAGTAACCGAGAGAGAGAGATTGTGTGAGATCCCATATCCGTTGGAGACGAGAACGAAACATTCTTTATAAGGGTGTGGAACACTCTCCCTAACAGACGTGTTTTAAAACCGTGAGGCTGACGGTGATACGTAATGTCGCCAAAGCAGACAATATTTGCTAGCAATGATACGTAATGTTGCCAAAGCAGACAGTATCTGCCAGCGATGGGTTTGGACATTTATCGAGAGAGAAATTAGTGTAAATCCAAGGGAGATTTTTTTTTAGATATTTTGCTTTTGGGATATCTCCCTTCTTGCTTATACATACGCAGGAGAGCTTCCGAGCTGCGCTTTTGGTTTTGATACTCATGGACAGGTAAAGCTTTCATACCATAGTCATCCATTCAATCTGCAGGAATTGAACATGGATAGATCTTAAAAATGAAGTAATGGCTTGGCAAGTTATGCTTCAAGGATTCAAACTCTCCATAGATATTGAAATATCGAAAACTGATACATAACATCTTTTCTAATGTTGACCAACTATTTTGATATTGAACACTAAAACATGACGTTTTTACGAATCTTTTAGGTATTTACCTTGAATTCAGTGCCTCAAACCAATGATGAGGTTGCAGCAGAGGCAATTGGATGAAACTTTATATCTCCCGGGATCCCTTTGAATCTACAAGCCTTGAGAATGCAATATTTGCAATGCCCTGCAACAATGTCTACTATTATAAATGTTCTAGCTTACGAGCGCAATTTTGAAATATGAAACAATGGGTTCAATTCTCTTTACAGAAAATTCGCTCAGCAGAGTATCCGTTGGGCACAGTTACAACCTGAAAGATGTTCAGACAAGAAGAATTGTGAATGTAGAAACAGCATCAAGGTTTAGATTTTCAGTCAAGGAGGTTGGGGCTACACCATTTTCTCCATGCAAATGTGTATACCCATCTTCAGATTAACCAGGTAAGGATATCAGGAAAATCCACCTATAAATCAATGGCAGCATGCAATTGCACAAGCCTGGCCTTCTCATAGAAACTAAGTTATATTCTTTAGCAGTAAAATTTCTCCTTGGAACCTTCTCTGTGACATTGAAATTTGAATTAGTAGATATATAACAGACCAAAAAGTGATCATATAAGATAAGGTTTTGAAACACAGGTACAAGACGAAAACTCCACAAGCAGGCAGAAACGAGCAGATGTCCAGCCAAAAGTATCAAAAAATGGTTTCCTGTCGATTCTTGGAGACTTGGATAACAAGAAGTATCCCATCTATATGACTGGTAAATATCAAGATGATTTAAGTTCCCTTGTCCTTCTAAACCTACAATTGAACATTTTCTTAATGTCTTCAGGCCCTACACTTTACACACTGGACAAACAAACTCTATCAATTATTCAAGGAAATCTGAAGGAAAATGTGACATCCCATGTCTTCTCCTTGCCTTTGGTGGAGCTGAAGAACCATAAGCACACTGCTGCCTCCATATGTTGCTAGTATTTAAGAACGTTAATTCTGAGCTCTTATGCTGGTTCATAAAGGCCCAACATATGACCGTCAATACATCGCATGGATGCAACCTGAAACAAGCAGTTGAAGCTTTAAAAGCCTTAATCATTTATGATTCAATAGAGTGGGGTGGCGAGTTTATACCTTTCCGTGTATTTCATACTTTATTGGACCATCTAGTTCAGCTCCCATTGCCATTAATTTGGTTACCGTGCTGTTAATATCTGTCACCGAGAATGATAGAAGCGAAGAATATCCTTTCTGTTGCAGAATATGGTCACTGTGACCCCGAGTTAGCAAATAAAGCATCCAATCAAGGCCAAAGCATCTAAATAGGTGAAATTAAAACCTCAAGTTTCTACATCAAACTAGGGGAACAAAATATTTATCACAGAATACGGCTCAAGTTGCTTGCTTTGATAATTCAAGCAAGCCCATGCAACGATTTAAACACTCAATACTTATGAGATCCCACATCAGTTGGAGAGAGGAATGAAACATTCCTTACAAGGGGGTGTAAACCTCTCCCTAGTAGACGCGCTTTAAAATCTTGAGGAAAGAAGAAAAAGCTTAAAGAGGACAATATTTATAAGCGGTGGGATAGACTGTTACAATACCTCTCAATCACGGCCAACTCTAAAGGGAAACAATTTAAGAACTACCCCGTCATGAGAAATCCCTTCAACAAACACCAAATTTTCATGAAATGTCCATCAATCCACGTGCAAAGAACCGAGTTAACAATGTAAGTTGTACTCACCATAAAATTCCAATATCCTCCAGAACCATAGAACCAACATAGAACTTCCTACCATTTCTCCATGGTTCATTCTTTCCTAAGAGTTAAGACCATATATCTTCTGTAATCAATTATATGAAATCGAACCATTTAAATACGAAGCTCATTACCCATTGCCGCGATGAACCTCTATACGAATACAACCACTTACAAACGACGCTTGGCTAATAGTATTCGACCGTTTTTCATTTTTTATTTCTCGCAGGCACTACATCAAACACATACAAGACACCTAACTATGGCACATTCGTTTTGGAGTAAACAGATCAACAGAACACATAAAATGCAAGGATTAATGATTTCGTAGAGAATCAAAAAATAGCGCAATTACTTGGATTGCATGAGAGCGAGTTTGAGAGGCCCCGACTGAAGCTCCGCCCAACGAAGAGTGCAGACATGAACAGTAAAGTCCAAGCCCTCTGAGTAGAATCTTGCGGCTCTGGGAACGTCCTTGTGTAGTTGAAGTATCCACTTAAAAGACGCTGCTGCCATAACTCTCTTTCGAGTTTTCAGTGCATCACTGGGTTAGCCGGCAAGAGGAAGACAAAAAAAATGTTACGCTTACGATTTGGAGCGGAGATTAACAGAAATAAGAACTGTACATATGGTGGAACTTACAGTAACGAAATGGCGAAAACAGAAGAAGAAGAGCCCGCCGATGGACCGGCGACGGAGGCTACGAATTTGATGAAATTAAGATGTGAACGCAATGAACAGTTGGGCGAGATCTACAAACAATTTAAGGGTAAATTACACGTGTCAACTGGCTGAATTTTTTAATTTTTTTTACATATTGTTACGTTTTAAGTATCTTCCCGTACGCTCCACCGATCTCACAAACCCAAATGGACCCACAGTCCCCGCCAAAACCCGCCATCACCGCCGCCTCCACGAAGCTCCGTTTGATGTGCAGCTACGGCGGCCATATAACCCCACGCCCCCGCACCAAGTCCCTCTCCTATTTGGGCGGCGAAACCCGCATTATCTCCGTCGACCCAACCACCGTCAACACCCTCTCCTCCTTCATTTCTCATCTCCTCACAATTCTCCCCATTAAACCGCCCTTTTCCCTCAAGTATCAGCTCCCTCACTCCGCCCTCGACTCTCTCATCTCCCTCTCCTCCGATGACGATCTTCAGCTCATGCTCTGCCGGCACCTCCACCTCTCCTCTTCCACTTCCTCTCGCATTAGGCTCTTCATCTTGTTCCCCGAGCCGGAGAAGACCCGTAATGTTATTCATCATCCCAAGACTGAGGCCTGGTTCGTCGATGCGCTTAAGAGCGCGAAGATTTCGCAGAAGGGGCGCGATTTCTTGGTGGGGTTTGATGGGGATGCGTTGATTCGAGAGAATGAAGCTAAGGTTGTTGCAGATTTGGGTAATGGCGGTGTTTCTTTGGCCGAATCCATGCTCTTGGAAACCAGTTCTTCTTTTGAATCATCGTCTTCTTCGGATTTTGGACCAAGTTCTCTGGATAATATTGTTAAGCTGCCGACAACTTCTGATTTCGTCGCAACCCTCGCGAGGTACCTTTGACTTTTGTTTTTGCTCATTTCAATTTAGTTAAACATCATCTCTACAATTTTTGGATATAGAATCTAAACCTTAATTTCTCCAAAAATCATACAGATCAGTTTCAAGATCATATTATCCTTTTATCTTGAGCTCTGCTATTGCAGTGTTCTAACTGCCAAAAGAATTTGTAATCTTTACCGCGAGAATCCAGTTCAGAGTAATTTTCATGACTCTGGAGTTTATCCCCAGAACCCCATTGCCTTTTTCAGGGTATGCACTAGCTTCCCGACCAAACTCTTTTCAGCAGCAGGCATTGCAGTTTGTTGAAGCAGCCACACTGGTAGATAGCTGCCAGCTTCCTGCCGTGTATCCAATGCCTTCTTACTATCCAGTCCAGCAGCCTCAGTTTGTGCATTACCAGCCGATGCCAAGCCATATATATCCTCTCTACATTTTACCTGTCGGGCAGACGCAGGTTTCAGCCCCTTCCAACCTGCCTGCGCAGTGGGACTTGCACAATGCTGCAACTGGGAGCTTAAGTCATCCTCTTCCTCAAGTAGCTTACAAGGAGGTGACGCCAGAGCCACGCACACAAGAGTTTGGAGCAATGGCTATGAAGTCTGCTGATGGAGTTCAGCAGCAGCCAGTAAACATTTCTAATGATGCTGCAGCCGCTGCATCTGGTGAAGTTGCTTGTACTCATAATGAATGCCGCGACAACGATGACGACGACAACGACAATCCAGAAAGAACCTTAATATACAAATCTCAGCCTCCTCCTCCACCTCCCCTGGTTCCTTCTCAGTTGCAAAGTAATGCTCAAGCCACGACGAACATTCTGTCCGATGCGATGTCGCAGCTGCAGATGATCCAAACCAAACCATAAATCGCATAGGTCAATTTGAGCATTACTGAGTGAATCATGCATTGAACTTCTTATCTATAATCGGAAGTGTGCAAGCATAGTCGTCATCAATTTGAGCATACTCAGTGGATCATACATTAATTACTCGATCTGGTTGAACTTCTAGTCTATAATGAAACTATGAAAATTTGCCCCTACGTTTCCTTGTTTCATATTAAAGTGCATTGATATTTAGTCTACATCAAATGTATGCATGTAGAGATTGAGCTTGAATTGGACTAAATTTCAGTTGGTCATTTCCTAAATTAAATATTGTGTCTTGTTCATGCACGACTTTGGTTTTTGCTTTCAAATTCACACCTGTACAACAATCTATAATTAATTTAATTCCAAGTTGACATGTTTTTTTAATAAAAAAAAAATGGTCGTGTTGGAAGAACATTCAATATCACATAAAGAAATGTTGTGAACAATTTAAGGGTGGTTTGATCGGATATAAACAATGCTATTGTAAATAAATATAGTGTTTTACTTAAAACTATTTTATGTTATGCGATCTTTTAAAAATTTTATTGACATGAAACTGAGTGAGGATGAAACATGTTGAGCTTGTGTTAGTATGTGGGGATAATCTTCACTCTTAAGAAACGAAGAATAAGTAATGTGATCATATCACATGAAAATGTCGAGATCATTAGATGCCGAATCTAAATTTCAAATCCTGAATATAAATTGTTACATTGATATTCTATTTTGTGCAAAAGACTGAATTAAAAAATATATATATATATAATGTTTAGGTAATACAATAATGTAAATACCAAATAGTTACGTATTAAAAACATTGTGGATAACGAACTGAGCGTACTTGGGACAACATAGGAAATCAATTTAACCAACTTCTAATTTGAACAATTTGTTTCTTTCTTGAAAAAGAGAAACAGAAATGGATTAACCTCATAAAAGTTAGGCACCACGTGGGTGTCTCTATAATAATTGGGGAAAGCTGAACGTCCCATCCATTGAACACAGTTAAGGTAATTTTGTTAGATGGAGGAGGAGACAGGCCAGAAAAAGGCCACAAAATATCTCTCCCCACCAGATCCAGTTCTTCAATCAAAAGCTTCGCGCATGTGATCAACTATTGAAACCCGTTAGTTTTTTTTTTTTTTTTTTTTTTTTTTTTTTTTTTTTTTTTTTTTTTTTTTTTTT